ATTTTGGTGAGTTAGCCAAACGGAAAAAAGCGGTGGACCTAGATTTTTTTTTGAAATTGTGGCAACAGAAAGATTTATCGCATATCAGTACAGTACAGCATGGAATTCGAGAAGAAGCAAATGCCAGGGTACTGTACACAACACACACGGGCAACAAGGTGTTTGACTGCGGGCTAGTGATACACCCGTATGCACCATATCTGGGTGCAAGCCCAGATGGGATTGTTCAAGATAGGGAGACTGGGGAGTTGGGTACTTTGGAAATTAAATGTCCGGGCGGGAAAAAGTTCTCAACATTGGAAGAGGCTCTTAAATCCAAAAATTTCTGCATGCACAATGATGAAAATTTGGTACCACATTTAAAAGACAATCACAATTATTATTTTCAGGTGCAAGGACAGATGCTTTTGTGTGGATTAGAGTGGTGCGACTTTTGCATATTTTTTGCACACTCACAGGAATTAGTGGTAGAACGCATTTATTTCGATGAAAGGTTTTGTTGCGAAATGTACAACAAACTGTATTTATTGTATAAAGCATTTGTACACTTGAATAATGAAAATAAATAATAATAACATAGGTGAGCTTATATTTTTTTGACGTTCAAGATCTAAGTGGATATCTAAAATTAGTTAGTAAGGCACATACAGTATATATCTGATTGATTATTCCCAGTAACGATACAGGAATTTTATTACTTAAAATTTTATACAGTTTTAATCGTCTTATGGCCCTTTCCACATGTACTCTTTCATGTGCAATTTTTCTTATATACTGTACTTCATCAGGGGTAAACTGTATTCCCGATATTCTAAAAGTGGGGATATTTAATTCTAGTCCTACGTCCTCTAACAAAGTGTGTATATTAAACCCTTTATCTCCTAAAATAATGTCCCCTAATTCCTTCTAATTCACCGCTAGTGACTTTTTACGCAGAAGTGTTACGAACCCACTGTCTTGAACTATTTGTTTGTCCGATATAGAACCTAAACACACGACAGGTAAAAAATGCAACTGGGAAAACCATAAACTCAACTTACCTGTGTACAATGCAGAAACAAAAATCACTCCACCATTTGGATTTATCATTAGCAGACTTTTTAACGTGTTTGTACCTTTATAATTGGAAAAACATTGTGATTGCCTAACAAGGGATGATGGCGTTTCTATCATAAATTCTGTACAATCAATACTTCCAATAACTTTAGGATACTTTTCAGTAAATGCTCGTGGGGCGTAAGCTATAAGTACATCTCAGTGTGGAAATATATTCATTGCCGCCAACTTCATATACAACAAGTTAATCCACGTTTTAAAAATTCGACATGCAGCAGACTGAGATCCAAAACATATCACCTAACATATGATACTCAATGCCTTTACGTAATTTTATGAGAGTTAAAAACAGTTCATTTAAGGGCGCCAATTTATGGCATCTTATTATAGATGATTTGGATTGTGTTACATGCACAACACCCTTTTCACCTTGTTCAGATTTCAAAACAAAGTTATTTAAAGTTATGAGAATTGCATACGTTTGTATACCAGTGTATCTACATATCTTTTTATCATTTTTCCAAAAATGTTCTATTGCGAAGGGAGGTTTACAGCTAAAATTACGTGCAATAATCAATCGGTTCTTTGTTATTTTTTTTTCTTTGGACACGGTCGAGGATTAGATTCGCAAATTGTGCTCGTGGGAATAATGGGCGAGTCAGGACTTAAAAGTACTAAGTCCTGGTTTAGATTAATATGCGGTACTCGCATTGGTTTCAGCTTAGTTGTGGTACTGAAACGAAAAATATCTTCTTCATTAAAATGTTGACAACATACCTGATAAAGGGTAATTGCTATTACTTAATTCAAAAACACATGGTTTTTCTTACTCTACTATTCTCATCCAATTTTTTAAGGGGGTCGAGTTTTAGTGCTTCTATCCACTTTTGTCTTAGCTGTTTATTACTTGGAAACGAAAATAATGCTATTCCGTTTTTTTTTTTTAAATAATTTTGGCAAGTTGATACACAGCACCTTGGCATTTTCTTCTAGGTTATCTACACAGTGACTTTGGCGGCTTTGGTTGCTAGCGATTGGCATTTTATTTTAAAGCAAATTTAAAACTAATGGGTGGAGTTATTTCTCCCGCCGGGCATGCGGTACCCTCGATTTTTCCTTGATGCAATGGGTCCATTGTCGAATATTGAGAAATTTCAGTACCTCATTTTATCGCTCACGGACGACACTTTATATTTAGTAAAATCAATTCCTTTAACCGCTTCTAATTATTCGGTTGCTTATAACACTCCCTTGGAGTTATTAGAGTAGAGCTAGAGTGATATCCCTTTGCCGTTCCCAGGTAATAACTAAGCTACAGAAGACGGGAGCTGAGAAGAAGCACCCTGTATAACTCTTGTTTTAATAGCTATTATACTATCATTAAATGTTTTGTGGATTTTATCTATTTTTAATTTTTTTACTTACCGTTCTGTTTACGTTCTGTTTATCATACATATAAACCAGTAAATACAAGGTGTTTATAAATGTCTGGGCATCAAGTTGGCTTTGCAAATTATGTCAACATGTTTTTAACCATGTCGCTTAGTTGATATTTTGAATTCAGCACTTTTAATCCGTCAAATTTAGTGATGGAATAAAAGATCAAATGAGTAAAAGTGAATGTTTGTTAAGGGAAATTTAACGTTTGTCCATGAAAAGAATCTGAAAGTCCCATGAACCTTTCTTGGAGGGCTCCATTGCTCGACATCGTAGTCACATGATGATTTGTAAATGTAGTCTCTTTGTCTCAAATTCGGGCTTCAGGGCTCGTCCCGGCACTTCAGAGTCTTCTTAGATCGGTAGCTAACATAACTTGAAGCTCCCAATAACATTAACGCAGTATCCACACCCACAGGTTAAATTAAAAAAGTGAAGGTATGTTAATGCTCGTCTGTCAAAAGGTTTCGTCGTTTGCACAATTTGCCTGTGCTTTTGAGCAATTTTCAAAGAAAACCAAGTATGGTGAAATGGAATTAGACACTGAACAGGCTGCACCCATCATATGACAAAGAATTGCGTATTTTTAAATATTGTGGCTTCTGCAGGAAAAGCGATGGTTTAGCCTCAGACCCAGGTCGGATTCATGTGAAAAATACAGAGTATAGTATATTAAAGAACAAGTTTTATAAAGGGTTTATTTGGTGCACGAATCCCAAGTTAGAAAACGAGCCGTAGGCGAGTTTTCTATGGGATGAGTGCGCCAATGCCATTATAAAACGAGTATTTTATGCTATTTTTTTCTAATTTGCGCCCTCTTTTTTCTTATTTTAATTAAAAAATATATATTTTTGTCGCCTAGAGAATTTTGTGTTAGTTGGTATCGGTTGGTAACACTCGGCGCCCACCTGTTTTTTTGAGTCATTTCAGCCGTTTGTCATTAAAAATAAAATTTACAAATTACTAGTTATTTGTGTTACAATATAATAATAATAAATAAAATATGAGAAACAAAATTTAGTTTGCATTCCGCCCGAAATTCGCCAAATTGCCGAAGCAACAACGCAAAATTTGTTACCTGACAAGTCAGAAGCGGCATCCAAAAACTAAATAACCCTAAATTCATTAAAGTACAGTGTGCTTTTATAGATAGCCATAAACGACTCCTACTGGAGACGTTAATAAACGTATTATAAACGCAAATTAGAAAAAAATATTTTGGAAACGATATTGGATCCATATCGTTTTTAAAAAGATTTTGTGAGATCCTCTATTGGATTATTTAAAGATGATTTTTCGCTTATAAATTTGTGAAGATGCTTTCCTTCATCTGGTGTTCAAGTGCTCATAATGATTTTGTACGACAAAGGTAGGGTACCTACTGTGCGTGTACAGGGTTTCACGAACCAATAATCACAGGTGTTTCAAATTATGGTGGGTGTCCACAATGGCAGATTAGAGACTGAATTCACAAGACTAGACTAAAATTGTTTCAAATAAATAGTGGAAATGCCAAGAAGTGATGTAATACTGTGAATTAACGTATCCGGATAAGTAGAACCATGCCTCATCAGTGAAAAAAGAAAGATCTAACAAGTCATTGTTGTGCAAGTTATTTTGAAACCAATTGCAATATTAAATACGATGTTGATAGTCTGGTGGCAAAAATTCCTGAACAATACTAATTTTATAAGGATGAAAACGCAGCTTTTTTAGCAATCTTGTGACAAGTGCTCAAAGGAACATTAATCTGTTGAGATATTCTTTGCAGCGATGTTCTGGGATTTTCTTCGATTCCCTGTCCCACACCTGAGGATGTTCCTTTTTGCACAGATCCAGTAGCAATAAAACGAATTATTTGGAATGGGTTTTCGCAACACTTCTTCCTGTACTGGAATTTCTGGAAATCTCGAATAAACTTCATTCATGCAAGCCGGGATAGAGTAATTATTACAGGATCAAAAACCGCATTGCGACAATAAGACATAACGATAAATCTATCCTGTTTGATAGTGTAGTTCATTATGGTATTTTAAAGAATGTTTGAAATTTTAAATTATAGTGATTAATCAGTTAACTATTACCTTTTTCAACACCTAGATAAACGTTACACGTCAAACGGCAACAGCCAACAACAAAGGAAACACGAAAATTATTCAAACAAAGAAAACTGTTAGAACACAGCCAACAAAATACATCTGTGACAGAACAACCAATAACACAACAAACGAAATTTTAAAACACGCTAAGAAAACTTATTAGGTGAAGTTTTAATTTATGCGGACTGACCGTTGACATAAAATTTAAAAGTGACAGGCACAGGTGACGTGACCGCTACATACCCACGAGGGGTGTATTACGTATAATCATCACAACAAGGCTGCAAATTTAACAAAAATTCCAGAGGTATCTTGATGCCCAGGCATTTATAAACATTGTGTAATCTGGGAACAAACACGGTAATTACGTAAAATCGTCTTAACGTGTATAAAAAAAATTAAAGTCCGTTTAAAATTGCTCCAAATCTGGCCATATCTTTATTTACCAATCGCAAATATAATTACAAAATAGCATGTGATTAGAGAGTTTTTGCAAATCGTTTAGTTTAACGTTAACCTTAACGACAACGTCATTTAACTGTCGTGTGTATGTACGTCTTTCAAGGGCGAAAGGTGTATTCCGTTAATTCAAAGACGTTTACGTAAACGTCTTATTTTCTGATTTCTTAGCAACGGCCATTTGTCGTAATACGTTAAACTTTTTTACGGTTTGCAAAAACTCTATTATTTTCTTAGTACTATAAACTGAATACCTAAAAATACTAAATTTACGGTTTTAAATTGTCCATAATCCAAGTAAAGTAACTAGCTACTCTTGTGTAAACTTTAGGATAATCCTGTTTTCCACAACAGGTGGGTGCAATGGAACGAATTCCTTCAACATAATAAGAAGCATCTTTAGCAACGTGCATTACAATTTCTCCCATATCTATGTTTTGTTGATCTCTATAGAACAATTTTTTACCGCCGGCACACATCTGAGAATTTCTTAAATTAATCTGTGTTGTGTTGTATATCAAAGCACACTCAGAATTATTCCAAACTGTCGCCTAAACATAGAAACAATAACACGACTTTTACTTTTCATGTTGGTACTACTTACAATACCATCGCGCTTTTTTAAAAAGTTACCGACTTTGCTCCAACCAGCTAACTGTAAAGGTTTTCCTATAAAAACTTTTCTACTATCCATTGGTACACAAATTGGCCTAACATTTGCTGCAATAGTATTTTTAAACAAAACTGTGATATCATTTTTTTTAAGTAGGTACCATCTTTAAAGTTAACTTTTTGTTTCAATCGGACTAAAGCAATGTCATGATATTGATGTGGGTCGTTGAGTTTGTAATCTGGATGCACAGTGACACCATCCACCGGAATAACTAATTCCAACCCCGTATTTTTATAATCACCTAAATGTACGTTCCCTCTACGATAAATTTAATTGAAATATAATTCCATACATAACTATTCCTTACAGTTTGGCATTTTGAGTGACACACTGGGCGGTTGTCAAAACATATCTCTTATTAATCAATACACCTCCACATAAAAATTCACGTTCCCCACCACCTAAAATAAAACAACTTTTTTGAATTACATTTTTAAAGAAACTACCTACTTTTTTCATATTCTAATAAAGCAAGCCATGGGTCTGATGGTCCATCTGGCATATGCAACCCACATTTAGATGAATATTTATTGTGAGAAATTGCTCCACTTTGTTCTAGAAATTCAATTGCTTCTAAAGGACAGCAAACTTTAGGAAATAAAAGAGACTCAAGACCACAGTAAGACTTTTGGATAAGCTTTCTTGGTTCTTCATTTGTTGCGTTTTGTAAAACTGCAGAAAATAAGTGTGGGCATTGATTTATTATGACACATTTGCCTGGTTGCTGGTTAGGTGTTTGACAGTGTTGGTCTAAAAAGATTAAATTTGAATTTAATAAAAAATAAAGAGAAATATCTAAGGAAACTACTTACAAGCTATGATTGTAGGTGTGAAAAATAGAATTATTAAAAACAATACCATTGTTGAAGACTGTGTATCACTCAATAAATGACTATCGCAACTAGTTTCCGATAACCTCTGATTCGAATTGAATTTATATAAATATTAACTATCTCATAAATTTTTATCTTTACATATTTATACTCGTACAAAAGCAAGAATGAAGATTAATGAGCTTCCTTACCACTACTATCTTAAAAATTAAATACGAATGAAATTTTACATTTTCTACAAAACATTTTGAATAATCCTAGAAGAGCGCTCACAAAGTATCGTGGTTGTACGTTTTTGAGAAGCGTAAGTACAGATTGCAGATTACAAGAAAAATTTGTCAATAAAGTCCAGTTTAAACATTATTTTATACACCTAAAAAAATTATGTTGCTAATGTGGCGATGGGAAAGTCCCGAAGTAGTGTTAACTAAGATTATCAGACAATGATTCAAGTTATACCTACAAACACAACTGGAGAATTGATTAAAAAGGATAATTAAATCTACTCTTTCTAAAAGATCAGATTTATACTGAAATCGGGTCTTTATGGTAATAAATAAATATTACTCTTTTTGAATCAGATTGTTCTGTCAGTGACGGCTGTCAATTGAAATAAATTAACATTTAAGGTTCATTAGATTTAATACTTTTTTAAGTGGCAATTTTTATTTTGCATGGAAATTTCATAGGCGATTAGATGAAAATCATTTTAAAACACGCTCTATTTTTCTAAACATAACGTTAAATTGTAAATGTTTGGTAATGAATTTTTTCAGTCATGAATACACCGACGAAATATCGAATATTTCTATTTTTAATTTTAGGGAGAAAACGATAAAAAGGAACGGTACGTTAGCTAATTTGCTCTAAAATTACTTACAAAAACACGTCGCCAAGGACTTTCTGAAACCAACAGTTAGTACAAGAAAACTATGAATGTTGTTCAAATTTCTTCTAATTGGACGTCAGATGTTGCTACTACGCCAACGATGTTTTCACTATACCATTGAAAACAAGAAAATTTTAATGTTCGTTAAGTATTATGCAAAAATAAAGAAATATTTGCAGAAGTAAATTAAGTAGATAACCCGTTATACGTATTGTATTTATCCGTATGGTTATTCAATGAGTTCAAAATATTTAAATTATTTATTATCATTTTATGAGTACTATGTCATTATGTGAGACAGTCCGATCAAATCGCACAACGCTACCACCGACCATGGCGAAGTACATACCTACTTTTCAATTTGCCGTCTACTGATAATATGAATACTTCGGTAGAAAATGTAAGATCTATACCTACTATTTATTTTGACTGTGATCTGATCGTGAAGCGATCTTTATTTAATTGTTGGTTTTATTATCCTCAGGTTTTAGTTTATTAGGGAGTTACCGCACAGCATACGATACATTTCCGAAAACAATAAAAATCACGTGACAAGTTATCGTCGGAAATTGACAAAAATAGTTACCGCAATGATATGCATTTTTCGGGCACCCATAAAAAAACTTCAAAATCTGAGGGAATAATGTTAGTATTGTTAGTAATTTAATGTGTGCTCATAATATGAAAGAAATATTAGAAGTCGCTGTTTTTGCTCAAAAACTAAAAAATGTCAGTACAATTATCACTGTCACTAAACGTCACATATGTCACAAAATGTGATTATCGTAACAAAAACAAACACCGATAACTTTTAAAGTTATCGTAATCCCATACGATACCGAAAACTTTTATGGTTCCGATACACACGACGCATGCTCATTTTATCATTTTTAAAATGTGTAAAATGTGCGGTAACTCCCTATTATCAAGATTTATAAAGTAAGAAGTTGCCTCGTAACTTTGCACCAATCACGTGTGCGCATTGTTCGCGCGAATTGACGTCACTGGAGGTTTCGTTCAAAAATAGGATATGTAACCGAACATATTGTTAAGTTAAAAAACTAGAACTCCGTAAAATAAATACTGATAAAATATTTTTATTAAGGGTAAAATATACATTGATAAAAAAATATAAATTTATTTTGCTAAAACTTGCAATATTTTAATTTATAGTTTTATTCATTTTTTCTTTGTTAGTTTATAAGAAATTTTCTCGATAACTATCTTGTCTTTTTTGTAAATGATAGAAAATTAAACTTTCTTTCAAATGGTACCAAACATAAGCGGTTATCACCAAGAAGTCCGGAGTTACTATAAATAGACCGCTCCGGGTGCCAAAAATCGACCAAAATCTCGACAAAAATCAAAAAAATTGTAACTTTAAAATTGATCCATATAACGTTTTTTACATTTCTAGTGATCTTAAAGACTCAAAATAGTGCACAAAATGTTATTGGGTGAAGTTTAATAGCTTACGAGTCTTTTGAGTTTAAAAACGCTTGAAATACGTTTTTTTAGACGTAAAATTACCCGCTGAACACGATGCAACAGGTTAAAATACTTTGCGATGCATAATTTTTGAGATATTGAGTAATAAAGCTAAGAATAAGGCAAAAAGCATACAAGATCTATAAAGGAAGATGTGGTAAATAGTGCAACATGCAACACAATAATAATAACACACAAATCTGAAATCTGACAATTTCAGACAATTCAAAATCAAAATTGACGACAAAAAGAAGACTTTAACTTGAAAAAAACTTTGTTTTCACTGCAAATGAAAATCTCAAAAAATTGCACACTTAGGTGTGTTGGTCCTTAAATCGAGACAAATCAGGACATAAACGTAAAACAAGACAAGACAATAAAAATCTAAACATGTCCTGGCTAAATCAGGACGCTGGCCCCCTTAATCTGGCAGTCTGAAACCTGCGGCTGATCGAGCAAAACTCCACTGACGTCACCATATAGCCATCTTACTCGCTCTTTAGTGTCTCTCACTCCAAGTTACCAGGCAACCTTCTTGCTTTATAAATCTTGCCCTATTATAAGCAGATTATTTATCATTTGACTCACTTGAATCGATAACATTATAGTCAAATGATTGATAAGTAAGTACTTCACATATCTTGAAATACTTATTCACTTTTCACTGAGACAAACACCCTAAAACCTGTAGGTATATAAACTTGTTGTAGAATGTTTGCCAAATTTGTTGTACTTTTTATTTTCATAAAATTTGCTTGTACCGTAAGTTTATAACAATCAATAAGCGACAACATTTTTAATATTATTTTATTGATAGGATAATGAAGGTCCTATAATTCAGTTACCCAACGGCAAAATTTTAGGTCGCGAAGCGGTAACATTTGATGAAAAAACCTACTTTGCTTTTGAAAAAATTCCCTATGCTTCTCCACCAATAGGATCACTAAGATTTAAAGCACCACAACCTGCTCAAAAATGGGATGACGTTCTTAATACAACTCATATGGATGTTACTTGTATGCAAGTAACTAAAAACTTATCGAAGGAATCTGAGGATTGCCTTTATCTCAATGTCTATACCCCTAAGGTGTTTTTTTTAACTCCGCCAATTTTTTTAATGGTTGTTATATGTATAATTGTAGCCTCCTGGAAATGATAATAGGGTTTCGTTTCCAGTTATGGTGTATATACATGGTGGCGCATTTATGCATGACTCAAGTATGAATTCTGCTCCAGATCTGTTCATTAATAACGATGTAATTTTTGTATCAATTAATTACAGATTAGGTCCTTTTGGTAATAACAAAATAACAAATAATTTAGTTTTTTTTTTGTTAATTTAAGTTTATAATAGGTTTTCTTTCAACACAAGATGAAGTTATTCCTGGTAACAACGGTTTGAAAGATCAACTTCTAGCAATACGATGGACTCATGACAACATTAAATATTTTGGGGGTGACCCTGGAAAAATAATTATTTCTGGAGAAAGTGCCGGTTCAGCTAGTGTAGCTTACCAACTGTTAAATCAAAACTCACAGGGTAAAAAAAAAGCTTTCTCTTGATATGTAGTGCACTTTGTCCCCTTTTTGCAGATTTATTCCAAGGGGCTATTTTAGAAAGTGGCTCATGTTTAAGTCCTTGGTCGTTTCAGAGAAATTCCAGAAATATTGCTTTTGCTACCGCTGCAATTTTAAATTCAACATTTGAAACAAACAACAATTCACAAAGTTTATTGGAATTTTTGCAGAATGTTGATGCTCAAAATTTGGATTCAGCGGCTCAAAAGTACCTTAACGACGTATATACCATTTGTATTCTAATATGAAAATTTGCAATTTATTTGATGTCCTTTAGGTAAGTACTCCATGGGATTATGATGTGTCTCAAGGTTGTATTTGGGCTCCCGTCATTGAACCCAAAAATCCAGATGCATTTCTTACAAAAAAAATGTATGGTTTGATTAAGGCCGGAAATATTGTGAAGGTTCCAATACTTATGGGATTTAATTCTGAAGAAAGTTTATATTTCAATAAAGGTTATTGTTGTATTAATATACAGGATGCGCCAGAACTTGAGAAAAATGCCATGTAAAGTAAGACACCAGCAACATGGAAAAAATGTTAAAATTTTTTTTCTATAAACATTTCAATGTTATGAGAGTTTAAATTTTGCACTTTGACTCTATTTATTTCTTTTGGAAGAATAATTTTTTAAGTTTTTTTGCTACAAGCTATTAGAAGAGAAAACAAGGAAGCTGCATCCTAAATTGTAACTCTGCTTAATGTTATTTGTGGCTTTTATTGGCAAAATTTTTGTTTTTTTACTAAATAATTATAAAAAAACATGTACAAGATCATCAATATCATTAAAGCGACATCAAAAAATATCATATGCCAAAAAATAAATGTCATAATTTGATTTTTTTAACATTTTTTCCATGAACCTGGTATTTTATCTTACTTGATATTTAACCCTGGGGCGCGAGTTCTGACACATCCTGTATTTATCTGACATCCATTTTTTACAATTTTACCATAAAAGGATAAGCAAAACAACTGTTTACTGACTCTAAACCAAAACTCAGATTGATAATAGCAAGTAAGTGTTCTTGCAGTTGGACCCGCTGTTATGTCAATTTTACCCACTGTCACTAATGTCAAAATAAAATTTTAATGTGTTAATATTTGTACATTGTGAAGATGTTGGATAAAACATTGTATGGCACTCGTGGGTTGTTGCATATTTACTCACTTAAGAAAAAGAGCCCACGAGGCGCAGTTGAGTAATATGCACCATAACTCAGTTGTACCATAAGTAATTATTAATTATCTATATTTTTTTAATACAGATCCTAATACTTTTAAATCTTCGATGAAAACCTGGGATGAAAACTTACATATTATCGTACCTAATGACATGCAAATTACTGATCAAGAAGAACGCATAAAAGTGGGCCAAACGATAAGAGAAATATACACAGGAGGTCAACAGTTTGCTGATAATTTGGGAGCTGGAATTAGAGTACAAGCCACTGTAAAATCTTTTAAAAATTCTTTTACGAATTTACTTGTAGTACTCTAGTGATACTTCCTTTACTCGACCCATTCGCAAACACGCGGAATTTGCTTCCTCATTTACTAAAATATTCTTTTATCAGTTCTCTTATGATGGGATATTGGGAAACATTAATGTTCATTATGATGGTGCAGAAAATGTTGGTCATACAGAGATTATACAGTATTTGTTTTGTTCAGGATCAAAGTGTGATATTAGTGAAAATCCAAAAAATGATCAAATTACGAGAAATCGACTTATCAAACTTTGGACTGATTTTGCAAAGTATCTGTAAGTATAATTTTTTGTCTGTAAGTATCATATAATTTATATTTATTATGAATGTAGAAATCCAACACCAGAACCATCAGAATTGTTGCAAAATATTAGCTGGCCAAGTATCTCCATTGATAATGGTAACTTTCCATATCTTGACATTAATGAGAAATTGGTAATAAGAAATTTTCCAAAAGAAGGAACGTATGCAAAATGGATCAAGCTTTATAATGCTTTAGATTACAATGATTTTGATACTTATTAATCTAAGACATTGTCTATGTATATACGAGTACAAGGTGAATAAAAAACATATATCAAGAATGTTGTTATAATTTTATAAACGTATGTCTTGAATAGTATAGTATGTACTCCAATTTAAATAAAGTTATATTGGGGGACTCTTTTGTACAGAAATAAATCGCCTTACAATGGGTTTACTGTCTAACCTGACCCGTGCTATTATTTTAGATTTATTATTGTGGTCTTCTTCGTTCACAAATTGTTCCAGTGCCGTATACAGGGTTTTCGGTCCAAGTCGCCCCGGCCGATAACACCTAAACTTACTTTTTTTTCAAAAACTAAATTTTCTGGTAATACTATTCATTCCTCGTTTTCTTAGTAAATGCATCAAAATTTTTTGGCACATCCGATGTAGCCGAAAATGCTACCAAATTTAGTTTTTCAAATAGAACACCTATGTTTTTTTTGCTCGAAACAATAATAATTGGCAAAAAATACGGTAAACCACTATTTATAACATTTTACTTTACATAGTGCACTCAGAAAACAATTTAAATTTTTGAATTTTATTGCAAATTTTGCAACGTAGGCGGATTTTACTTGTCAAGGTATTCATGCAAAAAGCAATATGATTGGATACCGTTTAATTGTTAGTTTGACAAAGCCTAATTTGTCAATAAATCTTATTGAGATCTTTAATAATGGATGATATTACATATTAATTACGACGAATTAGTAGATCAGTTCGAAGTGTTTTTTAAGTGCAATAAAAATAGAGCGGAAGCTGAAAAACAATATGTATAGAGAAATACTCAAATAGAGTTCACCCAAATCGTTGGAAATTTAGTGAAATTGAAAAACAACTGAGACGAATAGGTTCGCTTCTTAAAACTAAAAAAACCTGTGATTCTTTGTGAAGAACAAGAAAATAGAAATCTGAATGTTCTGCTATCAGTCGAAGAAAATCCAAGAGTTTATACATACAGGGTTATTCATAAATATGAAGCAATATTTGAACCTCAAAAATGACCTATAAAATGATGTTAATTTAAATAATAACTCGTGTCCTATCTCTACTGATAAGAATTTTACAGCCCTCGGAATGTGGGTATGGAAATTTGATTTTTTTGTAATAACTTTGGAACTATTTGACCAAATATTATAAAATTTGGAACATTTCTCTGTGACAACATACCCTTTGAACTGGTAATCACGAAAACCGGATACATCCACTCAATTTCCGTTTCCAGCAGTTGCAGGTCACATTTTCTGTGTTTTTCCAATTTTTTGCTCTCTTAACACCAATTTTTTATTGCTCATATCGATAGAGTAATCAATTTCGATTAAAAAACGCATAACCTTTAATACTCCTAAAATGGACCGTTTCAAAGATATTTTAATTTAAACTGAGGACTGCACAACGCTGAAATCAAAAAATAGGGATTTTGAATAAATGGTATCCACAGCAACCAATGACCATGGTCACAAAAATCCCTGCCAGGCATTTGTTAACTTTGACGATAAATTTTTGTGAATTTTTTATGAATTAAATGCTACGAGATCCATTTGGATTTATTCTAAGTTATGTTTGGAATCTGAGGTAAACTCTTTTATTAAATATTTTCGATTAATTGTCTAATAATCGTCCAATGTCAAAGTTGACAGATGCCTGACAGCGACTAGTGAGACCATGGTCATTTGTTACCGTGGATATCATCCATTCAAAATCCCTACTTTTTGGTTTCAGCGTTGTGCAGTCCTCAGTTTAAATTAAAATATCTTTGAAACGGACCATTTTAGGGGTATTAAAGGTTATGCGTTTTTTAATCGAAATTGATTACTCTATCGATTTGGGCAATAAAAAATTGGTGTTAAGAGAGCAAAAAAATGGAAAAACACAGAAAATGTGACCTGCAACTGCTGGAACCAGAAATTGAGTGGATGTATCCGGTTTTCATGATTACCAGTTCAAAGGGTATGTTGTCACAGAGAAATGTTCCAAATTTTATAATATTTGGTCAAATAGTTCCAAAGTTATTACAAAAAAATCAAATTTCTATACCCACATTCAGAGGGCTGTAAAATTCTTATCAGTAGAAATAGGACATGAGTTATTATTTAAATTACCATCATTTTATAGGTCATTTTTGAGATTCAAATATTGCTTCATATTTATGAATAATCCTACATATAAAAGAACTCGCTCATCAACTGACAAATTAGATTTGTCAAACCAACAATTTAAACTGTATCTAAGCATTTTTTTTATTCACACCTTTCCTTTAAAATTAAAAATCAGGCTACGCAACCAATTTCCTTATAAAATTCTAAGATTTAAGATGTTTTTTGATTGCATTGTGTTACGCAAAATGTAATAAATAGCGGTTTACAGTATTTTTCATGTCAATTATTATTGTTTGGAGGAAAAAAATAAGTGTTCCATTTGAAAAACTAAATTTGGTAGCATTTCCGACAACACCGGATGTGCTAAAAAAATTTAATACATTTATTAAGAAAGCCAAGAATGAATATTATTACTTAAATATTTACTTTTTGAAAAAAAGAAGTAAGTTTAGGTGTTATCAGCCGGGGCGACTTGGACCGAACACCTGTACATCTTATGTAAAAAACGCAAATTTAGCACCATTTAAAATCGTTTTAGATGTGACATTCGTGTAGACAAGTTTGCAGTATTTTCTTTTTTACTTGCATACCTGGTTATCACGATTTAGCAACAATTTGTAAATTCCTATTTCTAATGCAAGTGCTAGTGGGTTGAATCTGGTCCTGGAACAGTCTTTGTTTAATGTATTTGGGGCTGATTTATTATCTCTGTATCGGTATTTGCTAAAGGGACTTAAAGTGGTAAGTAATCCTGTCATTACATCAGTACTTATCAATTACCTACCAATTTGGTATGAGTATATTCAGCAGGATGGTACCACCGCACACAATACGAGAGATAATCTCAAATTTTTGCAAGAGTTTAAAAAAAAAAGAAGCTTAAACATTGAAGTCAAGGAAGAATTGTGCCATGCCTCCCATGTTCAGCCAACGAAAATTCTTCGCCTGAGGAAGATACAATAAAGGTTATGCCAAAAAGATTGGCTGAAGTTATAAATGCCAATGGGGCACTGACAAAGTATTAATTATATTTTTCTTTTCAATTACATACCTACATACATAATATATTTAAATGTTCAAACTACATACAGTAAATTATTTTCCATTTTTTATATTTTAATGTGTTCTTGTGACGAGCACCCACGTTGTGGGTATTTCGTTACATTTTGTTTTATGTGATCTCATAACTCAAGAGCTTATCACTATTAGGAGATTCTTAGTATTATTAACTTATTCATTTTGGATCGCATTTTTAACCTGAAAATGATTTGGTACGACAATAACTCAAACAATGTAAGACAAAGGTAAGAAGTAACAAGGAGCATCGAACATCCTGTCAACATGACAAACCTTAATCAAAATTCTGAAACAAGGTTAGAAAAACCTAAAGACTCATTTACACTTTTAATCTGTCATAGTAATTGGGTGGACGAAATTCACTGTCCATCACTGTACTATACGTTCTCTCCTTTTTCTTTAAGGCTCTAGGGTACCGAATGAACTATTCAGATTTGGTGTACTGTTAGTTGCATACTCGGCATTTTGTGGCAGCTGTCAATCATCCGACCTTCTCTACCTGGTGCCTTGTCCCTTTAGTCATAAAATGGAAATAATGTAAACAAACAGAATTTCACCATCGATGAGTTTCTCTTATTTCAGAGATTCAGATTCTAGCTCAGTAGAAAGAAAAGTTCATTTTTCTCTTGATTTTGGACTTAGAATAATTTTTCTCTGCTTTTTAATTCCCATCACATTGGCGGTTTTAATTTTTTGACAATAATGTCACTTTGAAAAATGAGTTTTTGCAAGTTAAATAAAAAAATGTGTGGGAAAAAAATAATTTTGATAAATAGCAACTCAAAGAAACAGCTTTCAGATAAAAAACAAAGTCATTTTTAACAAAAACTATCATTATTTAATTAGTAAATAAAAAAAAATATCTTCTATTTTACGCGAAAACTGCAAAGGAGAAACATTTTGTTCACCTGAAACGAGCAAAATCCAAATTTGATTTGAAAGTGATTTTGAAAAAGTTTTGCTTTAATATTTAGGACCCCACTTTGCCCATTTGCCCCACTTGATCCTAATTGTGTTTTTGCAAACGCTATTTTGATCGTTTATCTGAAAGATGCATTAGATAGTTTTTCCAAAAACCACCCTAAATCGGTATCTTACTCCCCCAAAACTACCTTTGTTTCAACGCGTCAGTAATCAGGCTCCTCTTAAAATTGAAGATCAAGAATATCGTCAATTCCTAGTTTGATCCTTTATCTCGAAGACGCATATAATAGTGTTTCCCAAAACCACCCGAAATCGGTGTCTTACTCCCCCAAAGATACCTTTACATTAACGTGAGCGCGATCAGGCCCCTCTTAAGAAAAATGTGCAATTTGTGATGCTTACCTACGACGATCATATAAATATCTATTAATGAGTGAAATCTATTAAGATTTAAGAGTGACTAATAGCTGGGACACCTGGTATACTTACAACAATTAAAGTTAGCTTAACTCTTTAATGACATTTATCTTAAACTCATAGCAACTTTAAAAACAAATGTTGCAATTAAGCACCTGCTCCAAGCAGGTGTACTCAAATTAATCACAACGATAAGCTATCAATTTTGTTTAAGTATGATCAGTGTTAGTGAACCTTTTACAATATTCGATATTAGTGAATCTGCAAAGTAAAATATAAAAAACTGCCATGACATGTAAGTACACATTTTCTTTGATTTTATTTAAAATCATATTGTTTTTTTAGACATTGGTTATACAAAAATTTTTATTTTCTTAATACTATGTGAATATGTGCATTCTGATTGCCGAATGCTTCACATTTGTCACAGAGAAAATGGCAAAGATAAAAATTGTAACAACCCAGAGAAAACCCTGCCTGAACGACTAAACAAAACTCACGAAAAATATGAAGAAGTTAAACAAAAATTAATTCAATATTGTCCCTTCTTTTTCTCAAACAAAACTGGTATGTATTTTCATAAATATTAATGTAAAACATAGAACATCTCTTTATTAGATGATCCTGAATTATGTTGCGACGTAGATCAAGCACTGAATATGATAAACGGCTTCCAGAGTACAGTTCCTTTTCAAAGATGTCCCACTTGTGTTACTAACATCATAAATACATATTGCATATTCTCATGTTCTCCAAACCAGTACGATTTCACTTTTCCGTTATCACCAAGCAATGCTAATTATATTGAAAAAGTTCAAGAAAATATTGATGAAAATTATATTCAAGAGGTTTACGATTCCTGTAAAAATGTTGCAAATCCTAGCACAAGCAGTAAACTTATTGGACTAGTTTGCGGAAAATACGGTGCGGCATATTGCACTCCTGAAAGATTTTTTAACTACATGGGAAGTACTAGTAACGGATTTGCACCATTTGATATTGTTTTTAAAATAGTTAACACTTCAAATGCTATTAATCACACTGTCCACAAATGCAATGAGGCCTATGTAAGTTAAAAAAAAAACAATTTCTGTAAATATAGTTAACTGTTGTAGGAGGGATCTCAAGCGTGCAGTTGTGTCGACTGCGAATTAAGCTGCTTATCAAGCGAAAAATTTGAAGATTTATCAAACAACGATTACATTTTTGGAAACGTACAAAAAGATTCCTTTATTGCAGCTTGTGTCCTTTTCACTCTTGGATGTGTTTCCGTATGTTTTATTGTGTACCTTCGTATAACTAATTCCCAACCGCTTTTATCTGCATTCAACAAAGGAAATAAAAACAAATCTAAATCTATTCAACGCAAGATAAACAATTATCTTAAAACTGGTTTCCGAAAATGGGGCATATGTAAGCAATTTTTAGGAAAGGTTGTGGTAATTTGTCAATTTTTTTAGTTATGTCTAAACGACGAATAACAGTTCTATTAATATCAATTTTCGGAATAATTGCCTTGACGATTGGCATTATTTTTTTGAATGTGATTACGGATCCTGTGGAGTTATGGGCGGCCCCACACAGTAGAAGTAGACAAGAGAAACAATTTTTTGATACAAATTTTCAACCTTTCTATCGAACAAACCAAATCTTTTTTAAAACGGTAAACGTAGACTCTGTATGTAATACAAACAGTTATAGCAGCAGTACGTTAATTCGTCTATTGCAGTTTGTTTATAATCAAACTATCGATCTTGGCAATAATAAAACGGATATTTTATCACACACATTTGGTCCAGCGTTTAATGCAACGTTTTTAAAAGAAGTTTTTAAACTACAAAGTTTAATTGAAAATGTAATAGAATTAATCAAAGTTTTACAGTTGTGTAATTTATTTTTTCAGATAACACTTAATGATGGATCTGGAATAGAAAGCATATGCCTTGCTCCGTTAGTTACTGTGTTTTCAGGATCAAAAGATGTAAATGTTTGTGCAGTTCAGTCTCTTTTAGGTTTATTTGGAAACAACGCGACCAAAATCGAAGAAGATGATTACGTAGAAACTTTCATCAAGTGTTTATCGTAGGTTAAAGTTATTTTTGTGATACGTGATTGTTATTTGATTATATCCGTACTGTCCAAACCGCAACGTAACAGCCTAGGCCGTTAAAAACCCTTAAGGGACGTTATTATGCATGTAACTATACAAAAGGCTACTTGCGTCAAGTTTGCCGTTATACTAATATCATTTTGCTAAGACCTACTAAAAATTTTATTACTTTTAAGTTAAATGCGGTATTGTTAAGAGTAAACCAGAGGGTAAACAAATCATAAATTAGTGGAACCCACCCGGACCCTGAAACAGGTCAGTTTTTAACAGGGCCGGATTTTGTCTAAAATACTTGAAATATTTTAATAGTTTTTGATGTAGTCAAGTATTTTAAGAAATTTAAAAAAGCCAGGTGGTTATTAACAAGTTATTATTAAATAAAGCAGATTTTTTTTAATAATAGCTTGGTAAAACTCTACCACTACTTTGCTTTTAAATACGGCCCTGTTTTATTCTGGTGGGTGCAGCAACACTTGCAAAGGAACGTGCCATTTATGGAGGGTTACAAATTCAAGCCATTGTTTGGTTAATCTCTTATAATGTGTCATAAAATTTTTAGTAGGTCTTACGAAAATGATTTTTCTATATATGACATTACGATTTTGAATTATTCTGTCTAAATCTTTTAGTATCGCGACAAGTACTGAACGACACATGACCAATAAGCAATTAACAAACGCGATTGACGCAATATTGTCTGCTATTTGCCACATATCGGCTTTATAACGTTAAAAACTATAACATCATTTGGCCGATATACCTACTCGTAAACCAAATAGCAGACGTCACTGAAATCTGTAAACCATGGCGCTCGCTGTGATGTTTAAGATTTTTTGTTATACAATTTGAAAAACGATAATTAACATTTACATAACTTAACTTGTTGTTTTTAACGGCCGGCGTTATATTATAAACAGCTTTTTATTTGTTTTTTAAGTTCTACACTTGGTTGCAAAAAAATTGGAAAATGTCAAAGCATAAAAATGTCAGATTTTTATATTTATCCATTTTGAACATGGCTTAATTCTAAAAGGTTAAGTTAGAACTGACACTACTGACAGTTAATTTGTAGTACTCACTACTCATTGAGTTTTCACGTAAGTACTCAGCTAATTGATTATCTTGATTTGCATTTGATGCTTTCGGTATTTAAGTGCGGCATTGCAGAAAAAATTATTTGAATGCGAGAGATGACAAATTGACAACTAAATTGACAAGGGCAAAACCTGTTTCATTTTAAAGCAAATTCTATTTTCCATTTTTATTGCAACCATCTGTACCATGTAATTGAGAAAATGTGTCCTCTAGAAGGCTATTACTTTCTTTCTATGTACCTAATTCAGATTGACAAAAAATACTTCACAGCTTTTCGGAGGTTAAATTTTGTAAAATATACAGGTGTTCCGTTTCTATTGTTACAAATTCAATTCAATTCAATTAAATTCAATTTTAACGTGTATGTAAGGGTGCTGCACCCCGTGAAAAGGGTGCGATTTTAATAAGTTATTTTTCACAATATTTCAGAATTCAGTTGATAATTTTTATACCCTTAAACAAATGTGAATTTTTAATCACGGACGTTCTAAATTTTATGGGTAAAAAAATAATTTTTAATTTTAATGCTGTTTATAGTTTGCAACATAAATTTTAAATAGATTTTACTCAAAAACGGTAAGTTGTATCAAAAAACGCATCTGTCTTTGTGAAAAACTATGGAATTAAGATTTCCTTGGTGAAAGTGGCAAGAAACTACAACCAAAATAGTTAGGATATTTTTACGGCAGGGTGATACTCCCGTTTAGGACGCCCGTGATTAAAAATTTCGACCTCTTATCTGAGAATTCGTTAGGTATATAAAGATTATCAGTTGTACCAGGGCTGAACCCCAAAAAAGTGAAAATTTAAATCGATATTTTTTTATCTTTAACAAAAGTAGTTTCATCTATCCGGGGACACACTGTATAAACGGAACACGCTAAACCAATTTCTATCAGAAGTTTTCAACATTTTAGGAGTCCTTACTTAATAGACTGTTTAGCACCTTACGGTGGTCCAATCATGCCTGGTTTGGCTTTAGGTGGGAATAATTTTGACAATTACACAGATGCAACTGCTGTAAGTTTAACATTCTTGGTAGAAAATCATTTGGAAGATACTGATTTGCAAGCAGCACTTGAGTGGGAGGAAAAGTAAGTCTTTTCTTATAAATTGTATTTGTTATTAATTTATTTGCAGATTTATTGATTTAATGAAACGGTGGGACAAATTTATAAAACCTGAATACATAGAGATAGCTTACAGTGCCGAAAGATCGATCCAAGATGAAATAGCAAGAACTTCTTCATCAGAAATCGGAACTGTAATCATCAGTTATGTTGTAATGTTTATATACATTGCTCTTGCTCTTGGTCGATACACCACAAGTGATAGATTTTTGGTAAGATTTCTATTGTCTTATTAGCTGTAAAAAAAAACAAAACGACTAGGTGGAAACGAAAATATTTGTTGGCATTGGTGGAGTGCTGATTGTTTTGGGATCAGTATTAGCTTCTATCGGCTTGTGTGGATACGCTGGCATTTCTACAACACTGCTAACAATTGAAGTAATACCATTTCTTGTATTAGCAGTCGGAGTTGACAACATATTTATTATTGTGCACACACACCAACGAAAAAAACTGTAAGTTTCTGACTCGATTTCTCATATTTTGAAATTTTTTTGCTTCAGAAACGAAAACTTAAGTTTAGAAGAACAAATAGGCGAAACCATGGCAAAAGTGGGTCCCAGTATGCTTTTGACCAGTTGTTCAGAAATCTTTTGCTTCGCAATTGGTACACTTTCAACAATGCCAGCAGTGAATACTTTCGCTATTTATGCCACTTTTGCAATTTTCTTCAATTTTCTTTTGCAAATTACTGCTTTTGTAGCGCTTTTTACACTAGATCTTAAACGATATGAAGCCAATAGAATGGAAATTTTTTTTTGTGAAAAAGCGAAAACACCATCTACAGACATAGGACCAGGGATTGTTTACAAGATTTGGAAAACTAACATTACTCCATTAATAATGAAGTAAAGATTCAAATTGTTTTCGTATCAGACTATACCTCTTTGTAGTTTTCCAGTACGGTGCATTGTTCTCTTATTGTTTGTTATATGGCTTTGTGTCAGCATAGCTGTAATTCCCTCTCTCGAGCTGGGACTAGACCAACAACTGTCTATGCCTGAAGATAGCCACGTTTTGAAATACTTTAATTTCATGAATGATTTGATGGGGATTGGCCCACCAGTTTATTGGGTTACCAAAGGTAAAGTGGATTATTCATTGCCAGAATATCAAGCGAGGATGTGTGGAGGAATTTTTTGTGAAAGCAATTCTATTTCTACGCAAATATATCGAGCATATACACAATCAAATCTGTGAGTAATAATAAGTCATAATTTTGTTTAATTTTCCTTTTTTAGTACCACAATTGCAACGGAAGCAAGTTCCTGGATTGATGATTTTCGAGATTGGGCAAATGCAACAGGTTGTTGCTTTTATTTTAAAGAAAATGGGACGTTTTGCCCTCATACGCTTAAAAGAAATTGTGAACCATGTAATTATGGTATAATGAATTTAAACGAATCTGAATATTTTACGCAATATGTATCTTTCTTTTTGATGGATAATCCGGACGGAAATTGCGCAAAGGGCGGCCATGCTTCTTATGCCAGTGTAATTAGAGATTAAGATGTGTTTTACTTATTAATAATTTGTTTATTTTAGGGAATAAACTTTGTTTTGAACCAGGAAGGCAAAGCAACTATTGAGTCATCGAATGTGATGTCTTATCACTCAATTTTAAAAGGATCGAAAGATTACATTAACGCATTAAAGTACGCTCGATATATTGGCGATAATTTAACAAAAACTCTAGATATACCAAATGTTGAAATTTTTCCGTACAGGTGCGTTACAATTCAGATGACAACAAGATAACATTTTGTGATTTCAGCATTTTTTACACATATTTTGAACAATACTTAACAATATGGGAAGATGCATTGGAATCCTTGGGATTATCGCTTTTTGTAGTTTTTATAGTAGCATTTCTAATATCTGGATTAAATCTTTTTGCGGCTTGTACAACCCTGATAGTGGTGTTAATGATTATTATAGACTTGATGGGATTAATGTATTTTTGGAACATTAATTTCAATGCAATCTCATTAGTAAACTTAGTCATGGTATTATATTTAATTATTACAATTTGTTTGTAAATTAATTATTTAATATTTTTTAGAGTGTTGGAATAGCTGTAGAGTTTTGTGGTCATATAGTTCATCATTATGTACACTCCACAAAACTTAACTCACTTGAGAAAGCCTCTGAAGCTTTTGCTGAAATGGGAAGCTCTGTATGTATTTCCTCAGAGAGAAAATTTGATTTTTTATTTAAGCTATAGGTTTTGTCAGGAATTACATTGACCAAATTCTCCGGCATTATAGTACTAGCTTTTGCACGCTCTCAAATTTTTCAGATATTTTACTTCAGAATGTACCTGGGAATTGTTATAATTGGAGCACTGCATGGATTGATATTCTTACCGGTTCTTCTAAGTTTTCTTGGGATTTATGGTAAATATTAAAACTTAGTTGAAATTCAAATTTTTATAAATGTAAAATTACTTGACATCATTTTTTCTTAAGAAAATCCGTTTAATTGCCTACTTTTTTTATGCTTTGTTAAAAGTCAAACAGAGTGAAATTAACTCAATGTAATCTTGAACTTTGAAATAAAGTTAGTACGATTGAATAATATAAATGCGCCAGAACTCGAGCCCCAGAGAAAAATTAATACCATATAAGGTAAGATACCAGGAACATGGAAAAAATGTTAAAAAAAAATATCTATGAAAAAGTTATGAGAGTTTAAATTTTGCACTTTGACTCTATTATTTCTGTTGGAAAAATAATTTTCGAAATTTTTTTGCTTCAGGCTATTAGAAGAGGAAACAAGGAAGCTGTATCCTAAATTGTAACTCTGTCTAATGTTATCTGTGACTTTTATTGGCAAAATTTTTGTTCTTTTACTAAGTAATTATAAAGAAACTTATACAAGATCATCAGTATCATTAAATAGACATAAAAAATGTCAAATGTCAAAAAATGACAGATAGTATTTTCGTAACATTTTTTTCATGTTCCTGGTATCTTATGTTATTTGAAATTTTTATCTGCGGTGCGAGTTCTGGTGCACCCTGTATATAACAGAGTTCCGTGACTGACAGACAGACAACGCATAGCCTAAGCCACTGAAGCTAGAAACATGAAATTTGGAAGATATGTTCTTTAGAGGGCGTAGAGAGTAGAAATGGGGTGTAAACTTTTAAACGAAGACAGAAACAAAAAAATTGAAAGATATCTTCCTAAAAGGTGTACAGGTCCGCAAAGAAAGGATTTTTTTGAAAATTAATTTCTACGGGGGTGAAATGAGGTATAAAAATTTAAACGAAGATAGGAACAAAAAATTTTGAATATATGTTCTTTAGCAGTAGTAAAAGTGCACTAAGACGAGTTTTTTTTTTAATAACAATAAAAAGCTTATTCACCCTCTTAGAAAAAGGAGTACACATTAAAACGAAAATAAAAACATGAAATTTGGCAGATATGTTCCTTAGAGCGTGTTCGCTAAGGAAAAATTTTTCAAAAACCAATAATTAAGGGGGTGAAATGGGGTGTAAACATTTGAACGAAGATAAAATCATAAACTTTGGGAAACATATTCCTTAGAGGGTGTACAGGTATGCTAAAAAAAGATTTTTTGAAAATTAATTTCTAAGGGGGGTGAAATGGGGTGGAACATTTAATCGAAGATAAAAACATAAAATTTGAGAAACGTATTTCTTAGAGGGTGTAGAGATCCGCCAAGAAATGGGTTGTCAACACTTAAATGAAGGTAGAAACATGAAATTTGGAAAATATTTTTCTTAGGGAATGTGCACTAATCAGGCACTTTTCAAAAACCAACCTGTAGCGGGATGAAATAGAGTGCAAACATTTAAACGAAAATATAAACATAAAATTTAGAATTTTAACTTTTGAGGAGAGAAATGGGGTGTAAGCGTTTGTAACGTACTTTCGTCATTTTTTAAAAATAGATAAACCGACTAACTTCACATTTCTTCTTTGAAAATCATCAGTTTATATCGAAGATCTACGTGGACGAAGTCACGGGTGCAAGCTAGTACTAAATATAAAGCTTTGTAAATTTTATTTTTTTGTTTCTATAGTTTTCAAGGTTCATAGCCACCAGTCATTCTGATTAGAAATTTAACTGAAAATCACTCCTTACAGAAATAAAAAAAATCAATTTCAAACGACAGTTTCCCATTTTTTGTACTGGTTATATAATATTAGACACTTTTTAGTTGATAAATATACTAATTTCTTAATATTTTTTATAGGTGATACTATAACTAAGCAACAAAAATAAGACCCACTTGTAAACTCTGACAAAATATGTGAGTTTGGTGTGGAAACAAATCGTTGGTGACATCACTAGTAATAATACTTATATTAACTAATAATGAATTAACTATTAAGTATGTCATGTTTGTATAAGCTCGTTAATCAACTGTTCTTTTTTGCTCTCGTGTTTGTGTTTTAATGTCCAACGTGTAAAGAGTAAAATTTCTGTATGCTTCAATAATTTTTTTTTCGAATTCAAGACAACATATGTATTCTTTCATGTTGTTAATGTGTTCAAAATATAGTTTGTTACACAAGCATGTTGATACGAGTATATTTAATATGTCATTAAATGTTTTTATTAATAAAATTAAGACCATATTACATAAACCGCCTGAATAATATTTGCAATTTTGTTTTTTTTGTATTGTTTAAATTTTATAAGTAGTGATATGTATTTTATATACTTTTCTATTTATTGTGATCCTGTAATTTGGAATGTACATTCTGGATCAATAAACTTATTATTATTATTATTTTATTATTATTATTGTTATAAAAAATTGGGCATTGACCATTTTCCACGTGGCCAAGGAGGCTGATCATTAGGGCTCTACAAGTTTCTAGTCCATTCGAGCCAGGTCTTGTGGCTCTGGTCGTCTTGCTTTGTGCAAACAATGGCGGTCATCAAATGCTCCTGGTGTTATGGGTGCAACCCTCCTGGTTGGTTCAACCGGTTCCCTTAAGGCAGCCGGCCGAACTGGTGTAGGTAGGCAACATAGTCTCGCAACTTCTGAGAGGGAAATGCTTGGTACTCAGGTTGTACCTCACACCATCTCTCATGCATGCGAGACATGTACCCCCTACGGGAAGGTTCGCTGCTTTCGAAACAATCCAGAAGGCAGTCCCTTAACTCATCAGTCCACTCAAAGTGACTCAAAGCGTCCGTTGTCGTTGCCACGGTTGTCACCGAGATTGGGCTGTCCAGGTTGGGCCCCACCACCTTGCCCATGACCTCTTATTCGATGATTGGAATCCAAGCGTAAGAGAGCTGCAAGAAGATTTGTGTGTGTATATGTTTTTTTTTTTAATTATTTTGAAAAGGTTTAAAAAATTTGCAAATAAGAGCCACCAATAACATTAAACAGAGTTACAATTTAAAATACAGCTTTCTTGCTTCCTCTTCTAATAGGTAACATTTTTTTACATGTTCCTGGTATCTTACCTTACAATCATGACATATTTCTCTGGGGCGCAAGTTATGAAACACATTGCATCATAATAATAACTTTGCTTAGTTTTAAATTGAGAAAGTATGTGTTAAAATTGTTTATTCAATTTTGACGTATTAAACCGTATTTATTAACTTCATAACAACCAAGGTAAACAATTGTTTATTCGGTAGAGTGAATTATTTTTTTTAACTCACTAATGATTTAAAAAAAAAATATTCACTCTTTGTTAAAAATCAGATATATATGTAGAACTTGTTAGAACATTTATTTAGAATTAAAATAAAAATTACAATTATGCAAGTCACTAAAATTAAGCTTACATCCATCATTTATTAATGATTGGATAATTCTCCATTAGTAATTCTTATGTTCTCTTTTTCATTAATTTCTGTAATACTGATACCACTTGTAGTGGCAACTTCAACAATTCTTTTTGCTTCCACTGTAACGCCAGAAGCTCCATCGCATACTTCACTTTCATTTTTTTCAAGAATTTTCTTTGAAATTTCAATTTTATTTGCAAGCGAATCCTCGATGTATCCCTCCGCAACTGAATTTGAGCGCCATCCGCCGTGTCTCTTTAATACAGTCAAGTCAGCGCCAGCGTCAGCAAGAAGTGTKGCTGACGAACGTCGAAAACTGTGTCCTGTATATTRTTCTGCATTCGAAAGACCCAGAAATCCAGCAATTTTTTGTGGCATCTTTGCGAAAGTGTTCAAACCCACAGGCTGCACGGTACATTTTTGATTTTGGTAATTCAAAAACAAACGCTTATGAGTAACTTTTTCTGGCCTTAAATCYTTGTACTTGCGAAACACGTCAATTGAATGGACGCGGTTAGCACCATCAACAACAGTAAAAACCCGTGGCTTGTATGTCTTTGTGTCTGGAATCTGGACGACTAGTACGTTTCCCCTGTCGTCAATATCATCAACAGACATGCTCACCAGCTCTCCAATTCTGCACCCCCCAGCAACACCCATGATAAAGACAACCTACAATAATAAATCTTGTTATTATCGTCATTTAAAAAAATCTGATCTATTACTTACTTTTAACAACAAAAATGTATCGTCAGGAACAGTATCCAGAAACCTTTCAAGTTCTTCCCGTGTAAAAACCTTCGACTTCTTTGCCCTGTGTCCTACAGAATGCTGCTTCAAAAATGCTTTTACTTGATGGAATCTACAAACATTAATTTAGCACAAATTCTATAGTTAAACATCCACAAACCTGTTTATATCAACATTTTCCTTAACCAATAACATTTTCTTCAGCTGTGAATGGTATGACCACAATGAAGACGATTTTACAGTTTTTGATCGCTCCGAAATATACGCCAAAATTATCTTCTCGTCGACTCCTCGGGCGTTCTTTTTATTTCTCCAATTACAAAAACAATTATACTCTTTTTCATATAATATTTTGGATTTTACTGGTACTACTTTGCCTACTGCTTCTAGTGCTTCGTTCATTACATCTTCCGGAACAAAAATATCGTTATCGTCGCATATTTCTGACTTCGACATTTTCACGAAAATGATTCACATTAAAATAATTGTTTATACCAAAATGGTTGCTAGGGAGGTGTTGCCACAACAACGTACCAACCACGACTGTCACAGACTTGATTTTTGTTGTCGTATTTTGCATAAATTCGTAATAATCCGTAAATTGAAGCTGAGTCTCGCAAAATTGAATAAAATATTGTATAAACTACGTGAGTTAAATGAATGTTTATTCACTTGAAGAATTAGCTCACTCGCGCTACGCGCTCTTGAGCTAAACTTTCTTCTCTTGAATAAACATTCATTTAACTCACTTAGTGTATAAATATCTATTATCTTGAGGTAATTTTATTAATACTCATTGAATCTCTACCTTCTAAGTTATCTACATTTTAATTTCATAAAAATCCATTGGCAAATAACAGAGATATTAGACCCGAAAGTCTTACGTAGGACACTTTGTATATAAATTATAAAATTCGTTATTTGTAGCATAAAACTATAAATAACCAACCTGATTCACCCATAACATCCAATTTACTAATTTAAATCCATTTGTAATTGTACAAAATTATCATTAGCAGGCTACCTAGACAATAATCCTTATTAACCAATTAAATTGGTGTACCATAACATTTCCATATTATTAATTATTATGAATAACATTAATTTATTACCTACGTGAATTCTTTAATTTCTTTTTTTTTCTATTAACTGTAACTGAAAATAAAATAATACTATATATACATATATTGTTTAATGTGATTACTTATTATTATCAAAATTGGTATAAAAGCAATCAGGAAATTATTTTAATACCACTTGACTGGTTGAATGTTGGCGTTTCTGGATTCAACAAAATGCGTTCAATTTTTTGGTGTATTTTAATGAGTAGTTTTAGTTTTACGACTGCTTCAATATCAACGTCAGAACAAGACAATTTAAAGTTTCTGCCTACCTGTATAGACAATATTTTAGATACAGTAGACAAAAAGAAAGTTATTTACACAGTTCATTTAACAAACCAAATAAAATTTCCCATCATTAATATTAATCTAACAAAAAAATTCACAACATGGTTTGAGTATGAAAAGAGTGATGTTTGTATCATTAACTTGACTGAAGACAATTTGCATTCGACTCTTACAAAGTTGTTTATGAATCCCAACATTAATCCTCGTGGAGTGTTTCTTATTATAGTTAAAGAAGTGTATCGATCTTTATTTGTTGCAGCTTCAACTTTCTACATTACTAACTTCATTGTTATTGAGAAAAAAATTGAATCAAATATTAAACTGTATGGTTATAGACCTTACTTGCAGCAAAGTGTTAATAATCCTTTAACCAATTTTTATAACTTTGCAACCTGTCGAAATGGTACCTTAAACCATCTCATTAACTGGTCACATTTCGCTGATGTACCAAGTCAATGGCAAAATACAACAATTAATATTTTAAACAACATGTCACCACCATACACCATATGCCACAACTGTAATGAACAGCAAGGGATAGAACTTGATGTATTTGATATTATCATAGAAAAATTAAAATTCGTACCGAATTTTACAAGAAATGACGAATTTGTAGTTTGGGGTGACAAAACAAATGGAAGTTACGATTCTATTTTGGGTGATTTAGAGAGGCGAAAAGGAGAAATGGTTCTAGGGGCTTTTCATTTGAAATCAGAAGAGCACATAGACTTTGATATGAGTTTTACACACATGGAAGATGCTGCTTACTGGTTGGTACCAAAAGCAAAACCTTTACCTTTGTGGAAACGACTAAAGTTAATTTTTAGTTTAAAAGTTTATTTATTGTTATTAATTTCTCTTATTTTAACAATGATCGTTTGCCGTTTTTTGTATAAGCAATCATTCTCTTCTGCTTTCCTGATGCTCTATCAAATTTTATTCGAATGTAGTATAAATAGAATGCCTACCTTTAAAACACTTATTATTACGTGGATTGCATATTGCCTGGTCATTTCAACTGTATTTAAAAGCAAATTAATGAATGTGATGACAGAAAATATCTACGAAAACCAGATAGAAAGTTTAAGTGAAATTGTTAGGTCAAATTTGATCATAAATATTGACCATTTCATAGCAACATTTTATTACCATTATACCAATCCCGACGAAGAATTTGTAATGAAAAATTATGTGTATTGTGAAGACCATTTTGCTTGTGTAAGAAGAACAGCTTTTCAACAAGATTCAGTGACCGTGGATTTCGGAAGAAGTTACCAATCCACTGCGTTGTTCATGGATTCTGACGGAAATCTGCTTTTGCATTTATGTCAAACTCCAATTTTTCCCGTTCAAATGCATCTCTTTTTTGTAAAAGGTTATCCAGTTTTTCCACAAATTGATAAGTTACTAATTAGAATTAAATCCAGTGGTTTTATACAATATCATTACAATAAAGTGTCATATTATACGCAAATAGTACTGAATAGAAAAAAACATACTTTGGCAGCACAAGTTCTTAGTGTAAAACATTTGCAAATTGCGTTTTATATATTTTTTATAGGAATTTTTCTTTCGATTACAGCATTTGTAGCAGAATATTTTATCAAAACCCTATATGTAGAACTTATAAGTTTTTAAAAGTATGTAAAGATTAAAATGTATTATTTACTTAATTCTTTTTTAAATGTACCAAATCAATTCAAATAAATTGTTGGTATAAAATTATCGGCAGAAAATCTTATTAGGTCTTGTTACGCTAAACGAATTTGAATTAAAATTCCAAGATTTCAAGAAACATAAATTACAACGAATAGTTCGCTTGTAATTGGTATGAGGGTGAAGTATTAACTAATTTATTTGTCTGAACAGAAACGTCGACTGAACTTTTTAGATCCAAATTAATGTCAAAAGAAGTTATCTGATAAAATTGCAAACTTGGTATTGGGTGACAACAGTAAAAGGATAATAAATTTGTGACACAAAACTGTAATCGACTTTTGCTATGTTTCGATGAATATTTCATTTTATACAGGCTGAAAAATAAATAGCATTTTTTTGACAATCAAACTGAATTATGTCCAAGACACATTTGTGTTTTTTTTTTTGTAAAATGCTTAAATCCTTAGTACTCCAGCCGTAGCGTTTGCACATATTTTTTCACATTTATTGGCACTGGTATAAAACATTAAAATTATTTCTTTCGAAGGACAGTTTTTGCTCTCTCTCTTGCAAAAATGCAAATTTGGACAAACTGCTTTTTGAAAGTCTGCTCCTCAAATAGTGCCATGTATTTGAACATTACTTGCAAAATTTGAGTTCATTGTAATAATTAGTTTCCAATTTGTAACTCTATATTTCTGAGGAAAAATGAGTAACTTAAAACTAGAGTAAGGCAGTGCCATAAAATTTTTGACAAAAGAGGCCCATTAACGAAAGAAATCCGTGAGAGAATGAATGCCGTCAATAAGGATGGTACACCATCACAATACCCAATAAAATTTTAGCTGAAACAGTTACGATGGGGACGAGAATCCGTCTAAGACGAAAAGAAAGCGTTTTTCTCATTGAATGTATTCCAAAAAAAGCAACAATAAATGCGGACTTCTATGCAAACACGTTGAAAATTTACGTAAAGCAATTCACCAGAAAAGATTAATTTTTTCTAAGTCTAAGTGTTTCTGCTGCACCGTGCATAACGCAGCCAAAATTAAGCAAGACCATTCTGGGATTTTATTCCGACTAACTTTTGTCTTTTTCGATTACTAAGGCAAAATTTTTGAGGACGACGTTTTGACTCTCATGATGGCCTAAAAGCAGCCGACGACGAATATTTTGAGGACACGTTTTTTATAAAAGTAAATTTTTACTGGAGGACAAATGGCGCCAGTGTATTGATGTAGGGGAGGACTATATTGAAAAATAAAATTATCCAAAAAATTGTACTTCTTTTGTTTCGTTGCTTTATACACTCGCCTTTGGCTCGTGTATGATCTTCATCCTCTTGAATTAGTTTCCATAATGTGCTCGTTAAATATTTTATTGTTCCACACAGTCAAAATTTACGGTTTTTCTCCCGTGTAAGAAAGTTTTGACAACTGTTTGGCATTTCTCAATACGAAACGTTAGATTACTTTTAACACATTTAAAGCAATTTTAAGCCTTGTTGAGTTCAATTTGAAAAATAAAATGTTGTATTCAACTCCTTTTCGTGTAAATTGGTTCATTTATGTCACCTCGTGGATGATAATTGATAAACAACTGGTTAACACTTGTGGTTTCAAAATCTACTCGTAACATAAAGATTCGCTTGTCAAGATGACAGATAATTAAAAAATTAAAAGAGTACTTTCCACAAGTTTCTTTGAAGAGGTCGATTTTCGCATATTAAAAATTTTCCCGAAAATGGAGGCCGTTAGTCGTAGTTTTCTCTCATGCATCCACAAATTTGAAAAAGATTGCTCTTTTGTTTCTTCTTCAATATTGTTAACATTTGAATATAAATGTGTTTTTTTTCTCTTCAAATTCTTCTTGAGCGATGTCAGGTGGTTCTTCCGATTCCAAACCGTAACTTGCGTCGAGCCCTGCAGATTTATACTTTGCATTATATCGCTTACAATGAACTTTGTTTCGTTGTTTTTTAATTTTGTCACAATGGTCCTGGGTGTATACAAGTGCGCCAAAACTCGCGCCCTAGAGAAAAATGAAGTGCCAGCGGCAATAGGTCGCCAAAAAATGAAGCCGAAGAAATAACTTTTGTTTGCATAAGAAAGTTATTACACCCTTAAAGCCACCAATCACAGAAGGGCACCTCAGGGTGTGATTGAAAAATTATATCCGTTGCTGGAGTACAAAAATAATACCAGTTTGCCCCGAACTTTCAAAAAATAGTTGGTTTACTGTAATTTTGACATTTATCAATTTTCTGGCAAGTGTTGACATAACACTCTATTTTCGAATATTTTTCTCCCCGAAGAAACTGCACACGAGTGTAATGACGAAACGAGATACAAAATTAATTAATGTAAATTCAACCAGTTTATTAATTGCTGCTTGGAAAAGAATGCAAAAAATTTGAGCTTTACATTTCTAATAAGCTGTGAAAAACGAACGACTAAATTTTTCACGAGAAATATGAGAAAAAAATATCTATTTAAAATTTGTGCTCCGTTTCATGTTTTTCAAAATGCTGCGAATACGGTTGAAGATACAATGTAAGAAAGAAAGTTGTAGAAAGTAAAATGGAAATCGAGTTTCCAAAAATTTCCAACGATTTTGTCTCACTATACTTGTGCACAGCATCTTCAGCGAGAAAAATATTTGAAAATAGCATGTTATATTTACTTCAACAACATGACAGAAAATTAATCAATGTAAAAATTACAGTAATCCAGCTATTTTTTGTAACTTTTGGGCAAATTATTTTTGTAACCTAGCAACGGATATAATTTTTGAATCACACCCTTCTGGGATTGGTGGATTTAAGGGTGTAATTACTTCCTTATGCAAGCAAAAGTTACTTCTTCGGCTGCACTTTTTGGCGACCTATTGCCGCCGGCATTTGACATTTTTCTCTGGGGCGCTAGTTCTGGTGCACTCTGTATACGGGTTCCTTTTTATTTTTTTTTATTGAACAACTATTGAAATTCTTTATGTTATGAACCGTGATCGCTGTTATATGATAAAGCTACTTGCTGCAAGGTTTATGTCATATATCAATGGGTGTTAGACGTTTAATTATTACGAGTATTAAATATTACGAGTATTAAAATTAATAATTGTTATTATGACTTTTACCCGTAGCTTATAAAATTTTTTGCAAATGTTGCTATCACCATTACCATCAATTAATTTGCTGTATAACAATTCGGGCATTGCAACTCATTTTTTTAGAACTTCGACCACAATATGGGCTTCCGATTCAAAACATGCGTTTTGAAATAGGAACTGTGTTCTTTCCAAACAGTTTTATTTTCGATTCAGTAGAATTGTTTGAGGTGACAATTCAGTCAACCACTAATTTTACCTTTCATATCTGTCAAAAAATTTTGACATATACATTTCTTTATGTCTATTTAGTGACACTGGTGATCTTGCATACATACAGGGACATTTTTTTATTAGTAAACATAGCCCTAAGTATACAGTTAAAAAAACCGGGTCAATTTCATAAGATAGGCGACCAACATTTCAAGCTATTAGAGGGTACTAGATATTAAAATATTCCAAACTAAAATTTTGTATCAAGTTTGTCAACTGTCAGTCTTGAAGTTTAAACCTTAGCTTTATAAAGTTACTACCATTTGTGATACCATGAACATCAAAGAAGAAAAAATTGAAATGTTTGTGTGGTATCAAGGGAGAAATAGTTTAAGGAGGGTGAGGGCTAACAGCCTGCATTGATACAAAATTTTAATTTTAAATATCTACTACTCTATAAAACCTTGAAATGTTGGTCGCCTACCCTATGAAATTGACCCGGTTTTTTTAAATGTATACATAGGGCTATGTATACTAATAAAAAAATGTCCCTGTATGTTTTTTTATATAATTATGTAGTAAAGGTACAAAAATATTGTCAATAAAAGTTACAAATAACATTATGCTTAATGTGTAACTCTGTTTGAGTAACAATTTAAGATACAGCTTCCTTGTTTTCTCTTCTAATAGCCTGTAGCAAAAAAAATGTTTTTTCTAACAGAAATAAATAGAGTCAAAGTGCAAAATTTAAACTCTAACAACTTCGGAAATTTTATAGATAAAATTTTTTTAACATTTTTTCCATGTTCCTGGTATCTTACTTTACATCTCTCTGGGGCGCGAGTTCTGACCCAACCTGTATGTAAAGTGAGCAGCAAAATTATACAGAGTGCGCAAGAACTCGCGCCCCAGAGAAAAATTTCATCTAAGATAAGATACCAGGAACATGGTAAATTATTTTTCCAACAGAAATAAGTAGAGTCAAAGTGCAAAATTCAAACTATCATAACTTTGAAATCTTTATAGATATTTTTTTAACAATTTTTCCATGTTCCCTGGTATCTTACCTTATATGGCATTTTTCTCTGGGGCGCGAGTTCTGAGGTATCCTGTGTAATAAACTTAAAACTGAAAATACAGGGTGATTCAGCTTAAATGACCCACTTGACCTCTCTTGGTAGACAACCCATAATACACAAAGCA